AATATGTCGACATTTGTAATGACAAAATTATCTATAGAACAAGTATCATATGTAATATATATATCTTTATATTTTTCGGATGGCAAATTACTGTAATTTGTGTATAAGTTTCTGACTTGTAATTTTTGTTATGTAAATAATGTTGGCATAAAGTCTAGTAATGCTTGTAATATAGGTGCAATAATATTGTACCAGTGCATTAATGTAAAAGTTATGTATATGCGTATATGCATACAATTTTGTAATTTTATTGGATTTATTATGCCTAAATAATGACTAAACGAATCTACTGAAAAATCATTCAGCAAATTTTTGTGTTTCAGAAATTATGATTATGATAATAGCTTTAATTTTTTTTTATGTTTATATATATAATGCCAAAGGTTTCAGGATCAGGCACACGGCAATGGTAAAATTCTCAACATTTTGGCGATGCAAATCTCTTCAAATTAGTTAAAAAATTGTCTCAACTTTTCTGGATACTTTCCAAGAATAAATTATTCAAATTTTTGTCAGCTATCAGGAAATATTACCTTTAACCGTGGCCTTTTTTCTGATAGTAATATTTATCACAATGGCAATTGTCAAGTAATCATGCGTAATTACAAATCGGCTGAGATATCATGCATATCTTTTTTTTGCAATTCTAAAAGCTAAAGGAGTATCAACCGAAATGCCCATTATTAATCATCGAGAATTAGCTATACATTATTTTAGATTGGCAGAGATATCATGCATATATTTTGTTTTCTTTTTTGCACTCATAAAGCTAAAAGCCAAAATATGCATTAACTGAAATACATATTGTTAATCATCGCAAATCAATCAACTATCATGTATTTTGTCAGATCGGCTGAGATATCATGCATGCTTTTTTCTATGGCCAAACTATCATGCATTATTTCAGATTGGTTGAAATATCATGCATGTATTGTTCTATGGTCAAGCTATTATGCATTATTTCAGATCAGCTGAGATATTATGCATTGTTAATTTTGAATCGACCAAGCTATTGTGCATAATTATATATCGGCCAAAGTATCATATATATATTATATTTCGGCTTGAACGCAAGATAAAATTCATGAAATAATTGCTAAATTAAGTAAAAATTATTTGCCAGATTAATATATATTTTAATTAAGATCAATATGTATTTTATTTATTTAATAAAGAACAGTTCAAAATTTCAAATATATATATAAAGCCTTTGTTTTGCTCTCAAATTTCAAAGCATTCTTATCAAAAAAATCAATCAATCAATTAATAAATCAAATAAAAAACTCTAATATTCAAATTCAAAAATGTCTGCTCAAAACATTGAAAGCTATAACATCCATGAAGAAAGTAGCTAGTGTTCTCGTTGTATAAAATCTAAAACTAATGCTGAATTCACAAGGTTGTATAAAGACAAACTTCAAAAATGCGCATTGTGCAATCTTTGTGCTGAACAGGATAGAAAGAATAAAAAAGAAAAACGTCGCAGAGAAAAATCACCTGATGATGAAAATATCATTTCTCTTTCTTTAAATAATAAAGTGTTAGAAAATGTTAATAATGATGAAAGAAACGAAGATGAATTTATATACGATGTGTGCGATCTTGAAGAGTTTGTAGCCTGCAAGTTTAGAGATAACGAAGAAAAGGAAGACCCTGTCGAATTCTCTGCAATTGTAAAAATTGAAAAAGAATTGATCAATGATAAAATTCTGTCTTTGGAATTTGAAAACGAAGAACAAAATTTCCGTAATATCATTAACACGTTACTCATATCTCTTCAAGAGGGATCAAGATATTATTGGGAACTTAGAAACCTATATCTTAACAAAAAAAATAATCAATATACTGGTTGCGCAACAGCTCATCTGGGTTGCACTCAAAGAATTGATCACCAACATAAACATGATAATGCCAAACCTGTAAAACAAATAAGTGAAGCTTGGTCTGCTATTGAGCGTTTCTCTTATAATAGCGCTATAGTTATTAAAATAGATTTATGCGATCAACATGCTACAATATCTGTGAAGCGTGAAGTATTTCATGAACATCCTACATATAGAGATACAAATTTATCTGTAAATGCTGTGACATGGATAAAACAACATATTAATCAAAGCTCACGAAAAATAGAATTTTACAAACAACTTTGTAAAGAAGATTTGATTAATCCGTCACTTCATACTTACCAGCAGGTATATTACTGGATACACAAATTTTTAAAAATGCAATACGTAACCAATGTGGCTAACCAGTTAAAATCTGCAAAAAACTTTTTGGAAAAAAGAGAGTTAGTAGAAATGTGATATAAAATTATTCAGTACCGAGAAAATAACTTTGTACGATTTCTTGGATTCACCACTCTATTTCTTCAAAACTTACAAGAGAATGTTAGCGAAGTTATTATTGATTTGATATTCAAAACAAATCAGGAACGTTTTGAGCTCTTTGCAGTAAATACAAACTATGGTAGATATACTGTTCCTCTTGCATATTTGTATGTAAGCACGCATTCAGCATCAGAAGAACAGCTTTCAAATTCCAATAATGAGGTTTATACACACGTTGGAATACTTAAAGAATTTTTTTTTAAATTGCGAAACGAGGGTGTTCTTCCTGCCTTCGTGCTTTTAGACAAGGATTCTGGAGAAATTATTGCTATTCAGAAAGCTTGGTCTCAAGCAATAGTACAACTTTGCCTTTGGCATGTAAAGCATACAATTGAGTTCAAGTTAAAAGAAAAAAAAATTAAAAAAAGTCAATATTCGGTACAAAAAGCAAAAGAAGCAAATCTTCAATTTAATTTCATCAATCCAACTTGATATTTTAAAGAACAAGAGAATATCATATACTCTAAAGAATTTAGGAAGAATTATTAAAAATTATTACAAGGCATACATTATTGAATCCACTTATACCCACGAACATAAATACTTTTCTTACTGCAGAAAAAATTCGATATCAAAGTATATTTGAAGTATATCAGTTCTGTTATCAAAATAATTTTATTAGCTTATGGGAGTATTTGTAGATGAACTGGTATAATGTAAAGGATTGGTGCTTATTTGCAAGAGCTGCTTACTCAAAAGCAATACCAATTGCTAGAACAACAATGATTGCAGAATCTCATTGACATGTTCTTAAGCATAATTACAAATACAACTGTAACAGACTACATTTAAATCGTCTAACACAAATTCTTACTAAGGAGCTTGTTCTAGATATGGAGAATGCTTGGAAAAGGTTTTGTTACAATCGTGATTTTCCATCATAGTGGGATGTTTTTAAACATGATTGGAAATCTGCAACAGAAAAAGAAATAAGTACAGAAAACAGTTACCATATTGATATAGACAATTGGATTTGCTCTTGTTCTGCCTTTCTAAATAATCCTTATCTCATATGTAAGCATTTGGTAAAGAAATACTCTACGAAAAATCCAACATTTTTTCCTTGATTTCTTACCACCATGCATCGTCATGATTATCCACTTGTTGCATTCGAAAAGAGCCTTTCAAGAATTAATTTAAACAATAATTCCTGAAATAACGCTTTGAAAAATGTTGTAGAATTCTAATCAGAATCGGGGAGATGTCCAGTACTCATATTACAAATGCATCTATTCATGAACATCACAATGTAATTGAGAATAGAAAAATAGATCTAAAATATGATATGACAATATTTGAAAAGTTAGTAAAAATTATAAATGATAATATAGAAAATGATAGACTTTATGAAGAATATAGAGTTCTTGTACATCCCTTAATTGCTGAAGTTAATTCGTGCCAAGAGGTTCTTAATGCAAAAACACAGCAAACATCGTGGACGAACAAGAATAGAAAATTAGCTTTTTGGTTACAATAATTGCTAAACTTTCAAGTACGTTATCTAAATATTTAAAACAATAGTATATTGTTAAGTTTTTTTTTTTTTAAAAAAAATATAACGAAATAGATAGCAATAACGATAATATAGAAAAAATTAATGTTATATAACTATATGCTCTAAACTACATTTATATACATTGTGAAAGGGTAAATTATGACTTGAAATTAATTTTTCCAAAGTTAGTAAATCGGATATATATTCGAATTAGCGAATTTGGTGAAAATTTTTTTAGTACGACTTGATATAAAAATCTAGTTAGTACGTAGTTGTTAAATAACCCTTCAAAAGTAGTAAGTAAAAGGAGATTATTATCTTAGTAAAAATTTTGTATATATATAGTCGACATGTTCAACGTAATGCACATAGTCTATATAATGTGAATGTTAATATAGCAAATCTAGTCGTTATGTACTTCATAATTGCAAGAAAATAAAAAAAAATTCTTGGAGTTCAAAAATCCTCAAAGTACTTGGTAAAAGTGTTTATCTCTAACCTGTTGAACCTCTTGCTTCGTAAAATCATTCGTTATTATTGCTATTTCTTGTCCTTGTGACTATCATATATTGTATTTTTGCATTGAGTAGAAAAGAGAAAGAATATTGATTAGTAATCAGATTCCTTATATACTAGCATAAAAATGATTAAACTTGTGAATTACTTTGTTATTGAAAAACCATTCCCTACGTAATCGTAACCTCGTGGTGAATCGAATTCATGATCGCGATAGCTGCTAATGAAAAAAAAA